TTCTGTTCACTCTTCAGAAGATGGAGACTGGTTTTCTTATGCCCATATATCAGCTGAAGGGAACAGGTCAAGATCTGCCTCAGTTTTTGCCATGGAAAACTGAACAGAAGCCTACCCAACTCGTTACCATATCACTTCCCTGAGCCTGTCACTGTGACAATTCTGTGAACTCAAGTGTGTCACTCTTCACCTGAAGGTGAGCAAGGACAGTGGTCCTGTACAGACTCTCTTGAGGATCCAATGAGGTAGTGTGTACAAGACACAGATGGACTGTGTAAAGGGACATTTCCAAAGAAGGGTCCCCTCCAGGGTCTGTTGCCCCAGCTACCTTGTCAATCATGGGGAGCAAAGGGCTCAGAAGTGGCCTCCAGGGAGGGGAGGAGAAACTAAAAGGCCGCCTTGGTCAGGATGCAAGGACCCTGCCTGGGTCCCTCCCACAGCTGTGGTCTTGGCCCTTGGAAGGTTCTTCAGTCCCCAGGGTATGACTTACAGAGGATGACCTGAATCATCATTTGGAGAGGAGCACCACTCCTTGGAAGTATACGAAGGGAAGAGAGAAACTGGAAGGAGGAGGGGGAGGGGAATGGAAAACAGATGAGACTTTGCTGACAACACACTTTCCTCCCTCCCCAGACAGAGGGGCTCATTTCCAGGACCTAAGAACAGTTAACCTTAGCAACCTGGAACTATGGAATTGTGGGAGCCAGAATCATAGCTGTCCCAGGCTGCTGAGTACCCACCACCTCAGGATGTCAGAAGTTCAGGATCTGGAGATCTAGAATCTAGAACCTTAACACCCAGACTCCTTAAACCTTGAATTCCTGAACCCTGTAAATTCAAGCCCCCAGAAGGCTTAAGCCTTTGGGGAGCCCCAATTCCCAGTTTCCTGTAGCTTCTCATTCACAGGTGCTTCAACAGTCATTTTAATGAAAGTGTGTTGATTATATGAAACATTAGCTTAAAGGGCACAGGTGGTGATGGATGTGTTAACAGCTCAAGGCATCATCTGTGATTTCTGCCTCCTCTCTCTGCAGCCCAGCTATGGAGGAGGAGTAGGTGCCCACAGACCTCCCAAATAGAAATCTGCATTTCACAGGAGACAGTGTCCTGAGCACACAGCCACACCTACAGATACCTCTCATGCCCTTATCAGTCTCTAGGTACCAAGAGCTGCTACAGGACTCACTTGTATTTCCCTTGCAAGGGAGTCTCTCTCTGTCGAGAATGTAGATACTATGACCATCATGGCATTTTGTCTGCAAAAGGAGGAAATTAGAAAGGTTGGTTAATATTTCAACATGGTAAAGAGTCCTCTGGAGGTCAGGGGACCCATAACTCTGCTCCACGGTCTCATTATTGTTGCCCAGTGGTCCATATCTGTATGGAACATCAATGAGCATCTGAACATTTCATTACTAAGTATCGGTTTCTTCAGTGCCTGGGTGCTCGTCACAACCCCTACACAGCATCATTTACTCAGCCCTCACTTACACAGCACCAGGATGAGCCTTGGGGAGCTGGACAAAACCCTGCAGCCTTTAAATTCTTTCATACACAAGTCTCACTGCTGTTGTCTCCTCCCCTTCAACTCTCATCGAGTTGTTATCCCCTGAGGTTCCCATCCTGAATGTGCCCTGAACGGAGGATTTGCTGTCCTTGTGTTCTGCTAAGTATGATGGTCTGTGTAGGGCCCCTCATTGCCCTTGAATTCACTAATAAACCAAATACTCCCCTGCCTACCTTGTCTTCAGGATATGTTTAAAAAGACAGAGAACCTGGGTTTATTCACTAAGTCATTCTGTGAGCTGAGTACAATGTCTTCCTGATCACATAGCAGATATTTGACTAGCAGAATTAGTAAAGAGGGCCAGGAACATATCTCTGTCCACACATTATTTTCCATGTAGACAGGAGGACCCAATTTCCATCCATAGGATCTTATTAACTAGGAAAGAAAGAAAAGCCAGGTGACAACAAACACATGTAATCCAGAGCAATGAAGACAGAGATGGGGAGACTCCTCAGCTGGCTTAGCCTACTTGGTGAGCTCCAGGCACTGACACATGTGCATGTGTGCCGGCACACACACAACCCCATTTATTCCTTCCAAAAATAAACAAAGAACAGGTCCAGTTAAATAGACAGTGTGACATTTGATCAGGTGATCCCCAACTATGACCCCACCATGCAGGAAACAGAGGCAGGTAGCTTTCTGAGATTGAAGCTAACCAGAGCTGTATAGTGAGACCCTGTCACAAAATGTGTGTACACACAATGACAACAGAGACAAGTACTCCGAATGACCATTGGTTATTCTTATAAGAAAAAGAGAAGGCTGAGTGGTGGTGGCACATGCCTTTAATCCTAGCATTTGAGAGACAGAACCAGGAGGATCTCTGTGAGTTCATGGCCAGCCTGATCTACAGAGAGATCCACAATAGGGCACCAAAACTACTAAAAAAATCCATGTCTCAAAAAGACCAAAAATTAAATAAAAGAATAAGAAAAAGACCCTGAAAGGTGAAAAGATTCAGTGAGTTTGAGTAAGGAGAGAGATGTTTTACATAAACACAACTTCCATGCCAAGGTCCTGTCTAAGGAAAATGCTTGTCTAAGGCACAAACCTTAGGACAATGTGTTTAAAGGAGGGCGAGAGGAGAGTGTCCATAAGAGTCTTCATGG